ATAGACATCAAAATGAAGACAATACTTCAGATTCTATATATGTGAACACTTTTAAATTTTTATAGTCAACGTTTCGGTCAGACATATCGCTGACCATTGCCAAGTGGTAAACTCATGAATAAAGTGTACTAATTTTACAAGTATACCTAGTATTGCTAAAATTCATTTGTACCAAAACGTAAAACATTATTCTTGTGTTAACTTCCTTATGGTTGCCCCTCAAATAATCAATTTTTGTTAGTGTTTTGCTTTTATTAAGCAAGTAACAAAGTTTGGGATTTTCTCTCTGATTTCTCCAGCTATGATGGTGTTGCCCCATTTTCCCTACAGAATCTGTATTCGCCGTTGTTTCTAAGCTTCAATCTACTAAGGTATTAGTTGAGGAAACAGTGTTCTGTTAAAAACCCGTGACAATCCGAAGATTGTTCTTACTTAAGTCAAAGAAAATCTTCGATTTTTCTCGGTCGTAAGTTCTGAGAAATTTCTTCGAGTGTTTTAGACCGTTGGAGAATTCCCATTCCAGATTACGGATGGATGCATTTTGGAAGCAGAACAGTTCTGGTACAGTTTATAATTCCTTAAAGTGTGATTCTGGGCCAGTTAATGGAGTTTTTCTCCTTTTCTAGCTAGATCATTTGTTTTCAGTGAGGTGAAAAGGTGAGGAGATGAGGTTTCAGCTTTGGTTAGCCAGAGTAGCTGTACTTTATTAACTTTGCCTAATTTGATTCTTTTAAAATTTTATGCAAAAGTTGGAAAACAGTGTTTTTGATAAATTAAAACAATAATTTATTATATCATAGTTATTTATTTGAATAGTTCAAAAAACATGAACGCCTTAACTAATACATATTCGGTATGTTTTGATAAAACAACTTTTATACAAGATACGTATATGTTTCCCATGTTGATAGCTACCATAAAACACAGCAATAATAATTCCTCTAGCAATAATTTCGGCGAAAGCTTTTTATATTATATTTACTTAATACGTTATTTTTTAATCATTATCTATGAAAAATGAGATGTAAATAAAAAAAAAGAAAAATAATTCAAGACACTGCAAGATCGCAAGTGTCTTGCATGCTTGATCTTGGTCTTGCGTAAATCTTGCACAGATTGGTCTTGGTCTTGGTCTTGAAGAAGTATCGGTAGTGTTGATCTAATTTATGTGCACCAGTTTCGCTTATATGAAACCAAACTAAACAGTTTGGATGCTTCCTGTAAGATGGCCATTAAAAGTGACAAATGTAAAAGTAGTAAAAGCCCTTTAAAAAATTGCCCTGTTCTTTTAAAAATATTCCTTTTTCGATAGAAATCGAACTTGATTTCAATGTTAATCACTATAATTTGATAATAAAAGATAATAAATACATTCTTACTAAGCACGTTACGCAAGTTTCCATTGAATAATCGCTCCGAAACGCAATAAAAGAAAAACTATTCGGAAAATGTTTAGTTTATTACCACCATTAAAGAAACCAGGAGTAATAAATTTTTTCGGAAATTTTGAAGTCAGAGATAATGATCTCAGTTTGTCTGATCTATTGGAATTGCCGATGTATTTTCAGATCTAAATTTAGTCTCGGATAATCATTCTTTCTGTCAAGTTTTTCCATCTAGAAGTGGTATAGTTTTAACTTTATTCAAATGTCTGCTGAATGTGTGTTTAGTGTATACAGGGTTGTATACGGCATACGACACGGAGTATTGTAGCTAAATAATTAGACTTTTGCAAAGTGTAAGTTTTGGGTTCGTTGAAGGGCTATTAGAGCTACAATTTAAAAATATTTTTACAAGATATAGAGTGTCCCAAATAAATAAAAAATATCAAAGTTGTATTTTTTTAAATGAAACACCCTGTATATTATTACATCTTTAGTTTCTACGATTAAAATAAAGGTAAATTTGATTCAGATTTACCGCATTTTAATCTTACCGTTTTTGAAATACTTAGGTTTTTGTCAAAATACAGTAATAATTTTAATGCTTTATTTCTTTAGGCGTATTTAAGTTTTTAAAACCAGATATTGTACTGAAGTATTTCTATTTACTAAATGTCGTGTTGCAGTAATAAAAATTATACTACCTTATATCAAACTTATACAGAGTATCTAAAAAGTTATTTTAAATAATTACTAGCTCTAAACGCCAATAACTTGTTTAATTTAAATGGAACACCCTGTATATTTTAGGAGAATCAGATGCACAATTTAATTCTCTATCAAATTGTGTTTCACCATTTTATACCTATCCTTTCAAGTTTTCGTGGAAAATGCATTTTCTTATAATTTAGACTTCATTTATCATATTTTTCATATTTACCCATGGAATATTCACATTTTAGATTATGTTTAAAGATGTAACAAATTCTTAAAGAGTACAGATACTAATATTGTCGATATAGTTCGTTTATTTCATTAAAAAATAAAAAAAACTGTTTAAATATTTTTTTGTTAAAGAGGCCAATTAATATGATTTTACAAAGTACATTATTGACTGTTTGCGTTGAATGAAAAAAACTGAATTTTGTATGTGTATTAGACAGTGTAGTAAAAAGTAACACCTTAAAAATTTTATTTCGTTTTTTAACGAATGCTTATAACAATAGAGACGCTTATTTTCATAACTTATTATTATATTGATTTCTGATTAAAATCCACATTTATTTAGAATAATTTATTAACTAACACAATGTTAAAGAATACCAATTAATATGATTCCAGTATTCAAACTACATTAATTGACTGTTTGCGTTGACAAATAATAATTGCTCCAAATACTAAAAAACTGAATTTTGTATGTGTATTAGACAGTGTGGTAAAATGTTAAAACACCTTAAAAATTGTATTTCACAACAGAGACGTTCATTTTCATAACTTATTATTATATTGATTTCTGATTGAAATCCACATGCATTTAGAATAATTTATTAACTAACACAATTAAGTATGTAATTAATTAATATTTGGACGGAAATAATGGTGGTATGTTTAATTAATGGTATACTCTTTTATAAAGATTTAAATAGTTTTCTTTTTGTATACAAATGGGCTAGTAATATTATCGTTTTTAGCACCTGTATATTTTGTACACTTGTTGCTATAAAAACAAACTAAAATGTCAATATTCCATATTGATAAATGAGGTCTAAATTATAATAAAATGCATTTTCTACGAAAACTTGAAGGAATACGTAAAAATGGTATAATACAATTTAACAGACAATTAAATTGTTCATCTGATTCTTCTAAAATATACAGAGTGTTCAAATTGAACAAGTTATTGCCGTTTAAAGTTAGAAATTATTTAAAATAAATTTTTAGACACTCTGTATGAGGTAGTATTATTTTTATTATTCCAGCACAATAACTGATCAATAGGTAAACTTCCGTAAATATTTAGTATTAAAAACTTTGATACCCTTGGAGATATGAAGCCTTAAAATGTTTACTGAAATTTCACAAATTTGAAAATATTTCAAAAACGGTAAGGTTTAAGTGTGACAAACCTTAATAAAATTTACCTTGATTTTAATCGTAGAAACTAAAAATGTAATAATATACAGGGTATTCCATTTAAAAAAATACAACTTTGATATTTTTTATTTATTTAGGACACTCTGTATCGAGCTCTGTATCTTGTGAAAATATTTTTAAATCGTAGTTATAATAGTCCTTCAACGAAATCAAAACTTACAATTTCTAAAAATCTAATCGATTAGCTATAATACTCCGTGTCGTATGTGGCGAACAACCCTGTATATTTAGTTCTGTTGATAGTTTCACATATTATATGAGGAAATTTGAAGAAACTTTTAAATAACCAGAAAATAAAAACAATGAATTGTTGTCTTTTGTTTTCCCTTTAATCATACCGAGTAGTTTTTGAAATACTTATGACCAATTTTGGAATGTATATAAACACTGGATCAAAACTTGATATGATATTTTTCTCTCCTGTTTCAAAAATATTTTTTGATCATCGATGAATTCCGGGTATTTTTCAAAAGTGACTCACCCCTACAATTTTATTTTATTTTTTCTAGATGAAAGAACGAGATTTGTTAAGATTTGTATCTATATGATATAAATCAATATTGATTGACGTATTCAATTAGTTTCGGTCACTTCCTGTTTCACCGGAAATGACTGCCTGCACTTTTGATTTTGAAATAGTACCGCTGTTGTTAAAGTATACATTTTCCGATAACTATTATCATCCTTTCCGTGGCATTGAACTAAATAAATTTTGTGCTTCTCTAACATTTTAAAACAGAAAAAAATATGACGTTAATTTAAATTCTATCAATAAAATTCCATCAAAGAATAAAAACGAAATTATATTTCCATAGAAACGCGTTTTGATTTTTGAGACTTTTTGAAAAAATTTCAATAATATTTTTAATTTTCTTTAAAACGCTAAGGAAATTTGGAAAATTATAAACGGGATTAACCATTTTAGAAAAAGCAATTTTTGTTTATAAAGAATGCGTTTTTCTCAAAATATCAATAATAAAAAAAATTCGTCTTGTAAAGACTATCTGGGGACATACTGTAGATCAAAATTTAAAATGCCATTTTTTTTTAGATGAGCCACTTTTAAAAAACACCCGGTATATATTTATTTACACTGGATTAAGAAAAATTATTTTTCATTTAAAGATTTTTTGATAAAACCCTTAAAACTAAATACCTTTTTGTCAATTTCAAGCATTAGTATTTCACAAAAAACAACTTTTCTATTTTTTAGATATCTCTCTCTTGCAGAGACAAAATACCCAGGCCATTTTCAAGAAACGCTCTTTTGTCCTCTTTCAAAATTTTCGGCTAACAAAAGCGAAGCCACCGATAATGGGAAGAACCGAAAAATCTCAAACCGACCGAGCGGTACTACCCGACCCGAACAGGGACAGAAATAGACAGTCGCGCGGCACCGGTAGGACGATCCCGCCTCTGATTGGCGGAGACAGATCTTCGGTCCCCAGCAAAGGAGGCAGCATCCGCAAACCCCGTACCGAAACATCCCACAGAGTCATCTCTACGCGACTGCGGGTACGACCTCCTTTAGAAAATGTTCGAAACACGGGCAGAACCACTATCACCATCGTCTTCATCCGATTACGAACAATATTCGACCAATAAATTGACAGATTTAACTAACTCCAACGAAAAATTCTTGACGTCTTCACATAATCATCACCAAAGTGCTTTTAACCCTTACTCCAACCAAGTTTCCGAGTCGCAGTACGCCCAAAACATCAAGTTTTACGAAGAATACAACAAACCTTATCAGGCAGAGTTACGGATTCAAGAACAAGCAGTATATTCAGACTCAAGATACATACAATACCCTGAACATTATATCAAATCCGAACCCGACGACGAAGATCAGCATCATCAAGTCCTGAAAACCAGGTCCTTCACAGGAAGGAAACGTAAAATTCCGGACTCAGAAGACGAGAACTCCTTCAAACAAAAAGTTCGTCGAAAATCGCCTCAAAGTTACGAAGACGTACAGAACCAGAGGATCATGGCGAACGTTCGCGAACGACAGCGAACACAAAGCTTAAACGAAGCTTTCGCAAGTTTGAGGAAGAGTATTCCGACTTTGCCATCGGATAAATTGTCGAAAATTCAGACGCTGAAGCTGGCAGCGAGGTATATAGACTTCTTGTATCACGTGTTGTCGACGTCTTCTCCTGAGAACCCGGGTGACAGTGATGTGTTGGGGAATGTTTGCTCGTATACTGCTCACGAGAAGTTATCGAGGGCGTTCAGTATGTGGAGGATGGAAGGACATTGGAATGCGCAGATATGACCAAGGGCGCCAACCACCCCAGAGAAAGCTATGTGATTATTGATTCAGGTGAGTTAGGTTTCATTTTATTGTTTTTGGAAGTACTAGCGTGGGGTATATCTTAATACCCCAATTAATTTTTGATGAGAAACATGAGAAAAAAATGTAATTCGGATGTCATATGAGTAATAATGTAAAACATACCTAGACCCTAATAGTCCAGGTGACAGTGAAGATTTTCGGTACTTATTTTCCCAGTCAGCAAACACCGATAGGATTATTCAGTATCTTATTCTAATCAAAGTTGGGGCGGAAAATGTGTTATAAAGTACAAATATATTGCACTTTCTTCCAGCGACAAAAATAATTTCTCTGGCAGGTGAAAAACTGCCAGAGAAATTATTTTTGTCCAGTTTAATATACAGGTGATTGTTGTCATCACTACATGTTTTATTTTTCATAATTTTTGGTAAGAAAAGCATTGGTTTAGGACGAAACTTGACTATAGCCAAAAACACTTTTCTAAAAATTTTGTCCGTTCATCATCAAAAAACTTAATTCGCCAATAACTTTTACTTATCAGAGATATAAGTAAGTTGTATTAATATATGTCAATATTTGTTGTAGAAACTAAATTGTTAACTATTTACAAAATCGATCTCTTGATTTTATTTTGTATCTCCCTTAGTTTTTAAGTTATCGCATAGCAATAAAAAAAATCTGGTCAAGATGACTTGTCCTAAACTTATCATAAATATGAATGTGTTCGTGGATCTAGAACGATTTTTGAAATTAAGAATAATGTTTCTCGATTTTGCTGTATTGAAAATGTATTTTTAGTATCTTTATTTTTCAAATTTAGTTGTTGGTTTATGTTGTTTAATGTAAATTTATCAGAGCCATTCTAATTTTATTTAAAAAATGTTAAACTATGATGTAGGGTAGACGTGGGGTAGACTCAATATATTTTTTTTATTTTGCGCTGGTAATAACTACCAACATAAATGTTGGTAGTTATTAAAATTGTTATAAAAACATATTATTATAATAAAAATAGATAAGTTTTAATAATTATTTATTAACACAAACATCCGATACGCTACTGAAGCAGGTAAGTCAAATTGACGTATCTAAATATTTTGACATCTAATCTTTGACAAAGAGTAAATAAAAGCAAAAATGCAAGAAAAAATATATAATTAGTTAATTTAATTGAATTTCATAAATAATCGGTTTACTACACGTATGTATATTATATAGTCACTTACTAGCGAAAAGTTGTTCCATTATTTCACTCGATTTTTGCCGAGATCTACCGCACGCTACACAACCAACTATTTTAGAGTATTTTTCGATAAATCGCGATAGTGTCATTGTTAATTTAAGTTCTGCCACAATTTCCATCTAGATTTACTACCTTTATACAACTATCAGTAGTAGAATAAATAACAAATAACATAAAATAAGCTCCGTAAAGACTGAGAAATCCACAAAATTTCAAATCACATTCAAATGTGTCAAATGAATCGTCAAACAGAACTGTCAAGGATCCCCACCCTAGAGTCCTTTTTCCGCCCACCATGCATGAAAACATGGACAGCATTATGCTCCTTCTTTAATCTTTGGGAAAACAAGTAAAATTTCACTGCCTCCCGGGCTATAACTAAATATTAATTGCCCTTTTCGGATTCAGAAACTATTTTGGACTTATTTGCTAGCCATTGTTATTGGATTTTACATAATAGCCATTCAGTGCACTTGGACATTCTATGATTTCATGATTCATTATTTCTAAGACAGAAATAGAATTAGAATTAGAATAAGTGGGAGGGGGGTTAATCTCTACGACCTTAGATATTTATTGTGTCCCCCTTTCTTGAGTTATAACTCATCATACAGTCCCAGGACTTCCTACGGAGACCCGTGTCCCTCACAGTCGAGGAGCTACGACCCAGGCCGAGTAGACGAAACGGTAGCTTGTGTCGCCTGTTGGGTTTAGAGGTAGGAGGTAGGCTCCCGACCCTTGGAGGAGGTGGTAGCTTGTATGCCACTTGCGGAGGATGGTCTCACGCAAGTGTCAGCCACCTCTCCTGTAGTTCTCTTTGGGTTTGGCCCCTTGGAACTTTCATTGTTACTGTTCCCAGTGTCGCTAGGGGGTTTCCCCACAGCTTCACCGGTGATGTTTTTATTACTATTATTACCAGATCTCATAGTGTTCCTATGAGTCGCTAGGGGACAGTGATCGGTCCACTTCTACAGAGCCCTGCATGTAGAAGTGCAGGGTAAATACAATGGGGTGCCCCCCGGTGCCCCAAGGTTGAAGCTGTCCGTAGTCCCGCCCGGTATCGTTATATGTCTTGGTGCAATTCCCTGGCCACGACACTACAGTCAGGGACAAGACGATGTGTGAGATGCTTCTTAGACCAAGCCAAGTGCTAGAGGGGATTCCCCCAGCACCTGAGCAGGAGCTTCCCCACCAACGACAAGGTCTTGCATCTCCTAGGGGAAGAAGACAGAAATAACACCTTCCTTTGCCAGTTTTATTTGCCAATGTTGTAGATTGTAGATTTTGTAAGAGGGAAGAAATTAAAAAAAACTAATAGATCTATTATGTCTAATCTATTCAAGTGGCTAAAAACCCAGAATAATTATTTTCAAAGGAAGACAATTCGTATGTACTTAATTATTTTAAAAGCCGGTAAAATACAATGCTGTTTAACTCATTAATAGATCTACTAACATATCAGACATATATTAGTCAGATAACTATATTTCCTAAATAAAGGGCGTATCTCTGTTGATCAAGATTCATAGGTTTATGCCTGTGATCCGAAAAAATCGTTTTTGGGTATCTTGTAGGAGTCTAGGAAATGGTACATCCATTAAAACTTTCCTGCTGGGTGGTCCCTTTTAGCCTTCATCTCTAATTGATTTCTGGAATATTCTATGCCATATGTCATTCTAGTCTGATGCAGACTATTTACTCATAAAAAAAAATTACTCAACCAATAAAAATGATAGGTATCTCTCTCCATATAAGGAATAACTATTTAAAATATTTATATACAGGACTTAAATATGTGCGAATATGTTCAGGGCTGGTAGATCTCCATAAAAGAAAGATATTTTCTCTTTACAGTTTTTTAAATAAGTCCAGAATCACCGAGTTATATTTTACTTTGAAAATTAAAAAAAATATATTTTTTGCTTAAATTTGGAGAACCACTGGATCTTTCTTTTTTCTAAGATTTAATCTACTACCTATGTTGCCATGTTTTCAAGAAATTATGTTTTTTGTTTCATAGACGAGTTTCTGGGGTCGAAATACACCACCCCTAAGAATATCTGCGCTTATTTATGACTCCCCCCCCCTGTATAATTCATTAGAAACATTTTCATTTTATTAGCACAGGCACTTCTATTAAAATAATTTAAGATAAAACATTTGACGTTATTGTAGTTTATCAGAGTTTTATATAAATTCTTTTCATATATAAAAATTACAAAATTATTCTATTTTAAAGTAAAATTTATACATATTTTAAATTATTAAGACATTATATCTATTTGTATTTAACTATGAAGATTCTTTTATGTACTACATGACAGTATGACATATTCTCTAACTTTAAAACAACTATTAAAAATTTAAAATAAACATGTTAACTTACATAAGATATATTTATCGACTTAATCATGAAAACTTTCTTTGTGCTATTTTTATGTCTATGATGTTTCTTGGAGGAACTCCGTAAATACGGGATATTTATGGAACGACTTACATTTTTCTTGGTCGCATTGAATTAGTAAAGTAGTATTTAACAGAACGATTCTTGCGTCATTTTTTTTTTCAAAATTTAAGCAATAAAAAAATAAAAGCAGAAAAATTTTATAAGAATATTCCCGGATTGTGTTTACAAGAGAAAACACTTTTTTATTATTAACTTTTTGAGAAAAATGTGTACTTCATAGAAGATTTTGCTGTTTCTAAAATGGTTAATCCCGTTTTTACTTTTCCTAATTTCCATATCGTTTTTGAGATGAGTATAAAAAAATAGGGGGCACGTATAGCCGCCCATACTAAAATATGTTAATAAAAAGTTGGTAGGCAGTTCTTTTAGTTTCAAAGTAAAGGAATTTTTCCAATTTTTTTTTATCTCAAAAACTGTGACTTTGACTTATTTTGATGTTATTACAAATTTTGTTGCAAATATTATTCCTAATCTTAAATTGAAAACCGCGTTTCGCTAGCTACTGTAATTTTGGAGTTACGGATTTTTAAAATTTTTAACCCCCTCCCATACCCCCTTACCAACCCCCCACCCCTACTAAAAACTAATGGCCAGATTCTCGTGTGCCACAGTATTTTTGTGCCAAATTTGATTAAAATCGGTTTAGCGGTTTTTGAGTTATCGTGTTACAGACAGCATGGCAAGCTGTACCTTGCTACTCCCAAGGCGTTAAACGCTATATACGGGAGCTACTATTATTATTATGTGTTACAGACGGACAGACAGACAGACACCATGAAAATATTTTGTATTTAGGTCATTTATGACACAAATAACTCATTTTGAGTAAAATTAAAAAAAAATTTTTTTGGCGATCTTAATAGCCTACCATACCTATTGGTATCAGTGTTACCAACTCCGGGATTTTATCCCTAAATTTGGGGAGAACAAATCTATATGGGGATTTTTTTAGGGGGTAAAATTTTTTGAGAGTTGGGAACACTGATTGGTATGGTCGGCTAAAAATTAAAATAGAGTTGAATTTTTCCCAAAATCTATTAAGTCCCAAAATTAACAACGCGTTTTTCTGATAGTATCATTTCGATTCCATTTTTGATAGATTGTTGGTATTTAGTATTAATTTTGATTGACTCCATATTTTTTGTAGCTTTACAAACTTTATTTAGTCCAATGTTACGGAAAATATGATTATAAATTTTGTCCTTCTTTAACACTTTAAATCAGTAATAAATATGACGTTAATCACAATTAATAATAACAACCTATTAAGAAATGAAAACGATATTATGTTACCTAGAAACGTTTTTTATTATTAATTATATTGCCATAGAAACGAAACATTTTCATATCCTTTTATTTTTCTCTAAAACGGCATGGAAATTTGGGAAAGTATAAAGGGGATTAACCCTTTTAGAGCAAGCAAACACTTTTGTAAAGAATGCATTTTTCTCAAAAAGTTAATAATAAAAAAGTGTGTCCTTTTGTAAAGACCATCTTGGGACATAATGTAGATTAACAGAATTTGACATTAATTTTGATCATTGCTGCCGTTTCTCAAACAAATTCAAAATAGCCAAGATATTATACTTTTAAAATCAAAAAAATAAGATTTTTTGCTTAAATTTTAAGAACCAATTTATTTTTTCTGCGTGTTTCGTTTCTCTAAATTTAATCTACATCCTATGTTGCCATATTACCAAGAGATTATGTTTTTTTAAATGAAAATTAAAAAAAAAACAATTTATTTAAAAAAATACAAAATTTTCAATTATTTTTGCAAAAAGTCATAGTCGTGCTGCATCAGTGGAGGCGGTGGTGAGGAAGTAAAATTTTCAAAAATATGTAAAACTCGCAACTAAATAAGAAAAAACAGGTATAAACAAGAAAAAAAATGCTAAAAACCACAAAAATTAACGCTAACGAGCAAAAATTTAACGTAAAAACAAAAAATAAAATCTGTTTTTTTTGTAGTTGATTTATTCTTATTTATTAGCGATATTTACTTATTTTTTTAATAAACAAATTAATAATAGTGATCAATTCGAAAAAGCCGGTTCAATAAAAGTGTCGACATTTAATGCGATATTTTTGAAAAATTAACTTCTATACAGTGTTTCCAAAATCACACATAGACCAAATAAATAATTTTGAATAAATGTGCAGAAAATTTAGTCTGAAATGGTCATATTTTAATAGAATGTAGAATGTTCAGGAGATAGATATATCTTTAGAATGTTTTTTTTCATCATACAGTCTCAGGGCTTTAAGAAAAGCCAGTATCTGAGACGGCTCCACAGAGGCCAGCTCTCCATCCTCGACATCAGACGTACCAAGTTTCATGGCACGAATGGTCGTCGTCTCGGCGCACTCAGTGATAAGGTGTTTTGGTGTTTCCCCATTTTCCCCACAAAATCTGCATTCGCCGTTGTTTCTCAGTTTCAGCCTACTGAGGTGTTCGTTGAGGAGACAGCGTCCTGCTAGAAACCCCGTGACAATCCGAAGATTGTTTTTACTTAAATCAAGGAAAACCTTTGATTTTTCTCGGTCATAAGTTCTAAGGAACTTTTTTGAGTGTCTTAGACCGTTGGAGGACACCCATTCCAAGTTACGGACGGAGTCTTCCAGATTCTTCAGTTCCGCTTTCAGTTGGTTCCCGTTTGGAAAACAAGAACGGTTCTGGTCAGTTAATTGGAGTGTTCGCTCCTTTTCTAGCTAGATTATTTGCTTTTTCATTGCCTTCTATCCCTTCCAGAGTAGGAGGACTTTATTTTCTTAGCCTAGTTTGTTGAGCTTCTCTAGGCATTCTTTGACCAACTTCGAATTGATGGTTACTGAGTTGATCGCGTTAAGTGCTGCTTGACTATCGGATAGAATGGCAATTTCCTGTTTTCGATAGTTCCTATCTAAGATAAATTGTACGCATCTTTCGATAGCGCAAATTTCTGCCTGAAGGATACTGGGGTAGGTGCCCATTGGTTCGGAGTATTCAGTTTTCGGCCCATATTTTAATAAACTCTCTAAATTACAAACAAAAAAATATACACCTTTTCATTTCAAAGTTACAACTTTAAGAATATATTTGAATCGATTCTGTATATCTATGATTTTTTTTTCAAAATATGGCATATTTTGAAAATAGCTTGAAATAAAACTCTCAAGGAGAAAACCAGAAACAGAAATTTTTTTGAAACCTAAATCTAGTGATAAGTGAGACTGATCTTAGTCTTGCAAGACAAAAACAAAGACCAAGCATACAAGACTTGCGATTTTGCAGTTTTTACAGAATGAGTCTTAAGTAAATAAGTATAAATATTTTCGGGGCTGGTAGATCTCGATAAAAGAAACATTTATTTTCTCTTTACCGTTTTCAAATAAGTCCAAAATAATCGAGATATGTATTTTAGTTTGAAAATTAAAAAAAAATGATATTTCGCTTAAATTTTAACAGATCGAGGGGGATACACATCTGTTCTGGGTTTTCCTTTCTTTATAATCTACTCTCTATGTTGCCATATTATGAAGATATTATGTTTTTTAACTAAAAATTAAACAAATTTCCAAAAAAAAATCAAAAATTTACAAATTTTCAAAAAAATGTTTCGCAAAGAACCTTGTTTGTTCCCAAAAAACCTGGTGTTTGGGGTCGAAATATTCTCTACCTCTAAAAATATTTGCACTTATTTAAGACTCTCGAATATAAGAAATTACTCGTTTGTTCAGAATTATTGTTCTAATTTATTACAAATAGTGTATCCGATAGTATATCCCGATCATAGTATAAAAATTTAAAGAAAGAAATGCTGATTTAATTAAAGATATTCAAAAATAAAAAATTTCCTCAGGCAAATGTTGTAATAATTTCTTCTTTCAAATTTTATTTTTGCATATTTTGCATTAAATTACTAAAAATACTATGTATTTAAAGATTTTCTATCTATAATCTGCGATTTTAGTAAAAATCTATTAAAAAAATGCAAGACTTTCTACCCAGAATGCAAGACTTGACTACCCTGCAAGACCAAGACCAATACTAAGAGAGTATTGGTCTTAGCCTTGCATTTGCTCATCACAACTTGAATCATCCAATTTAATTTATTTGCTTAGTTCATTAATGTTTTTATTTTATATTTATTGTGTATCTTTTTTGCAGATATGATGATGAAACTTCCAGAGTGCCAATAGAAGAAGAAGAAACCAGCAATGACTCGAGACACACACTTTAAAAGAAAATAATATTCTTTCCTTGAAGAAAAATATTAAAGCATTTAGTATGATGATAACTACTAACTTTAAATTTGGGATTTGGGTAGAATATTGTAAAAATTGGATAAAATTACTAAATTTATTCGTAGTAACAATACATAAGTCACAAAAAATATTGTATTACATTTTGTAAACTATTCTGAAAACTTTATAGCGAAGATTTACTACAAGAATTTAATTCTTTTATATCTCATTTCTTTACATGAAATGTTCTACCCTGTATACGGTTAGTTTACTTAGTAGGAGGTAGTTTTTTACATCCTTTCCAGTTGTGATCTATATAGACGTATAAACTAAAGTCGCCCAAGAAAAAAAAATGGTGACGTTTTGTTGAGTTATGTCGAAACCAATGTGAAAAAAGGTCTTAAACATGATACTTTGAGAACGATTTGATGCAGCTGCTGTAAAATTCTTTTTTAATTTTTATACTATGTTAATGACGATTTTTTCTGTCTCTACATCTCCCATCTTCAGCTTTTCCAAGGCATCTAGTATTTCATTTTTTTTATATTCCAATAATTAAATACCAAATGTTTTAGATTATGTATTGTATAGTTCGTAAGATATCGGTCTATATCTATTAATAGCATTTGCCATCCTTTGTTTAGCTTCATTGAGAATCTCGAAATTATCGAAATAAATTAGTGGTTTCAATTAGTATATAGGTTTGTTCCTCTAATTTCAATGTAAGCATTTAGAACGTCAAAATTAGTGGTATAGTAATTTTCAAATAGTAGAAAAAGGTAACAAACTTGTAACTTTTGCCACTAATTATACTTTAAAATTTATGAGTAATATCATTTTAGCTTCATTCAGAACCTCGCAATTAGTGGAATAAATTAGTGGTTTGAATTACACTTTATACTTTTTAGTTTGCGGTCATTCACAATGTTAAAAAACATAGTCAGTTGTTTCCATAGAGAAAGCCTAATATTTAGTTTATAAAACAATCAACTTTTGATTTCTAACCACAATTTCTCTTGATGGAAGATAATCAAAGGTCAAAATGACATTTGTCGCAAAATTTTGATGTATAATTAGTGGAAAAGTTAAAAGTTTGATAACTTTTTCTATTAATTAAAAATGTTCACCGCTAATTTTGACGTTCTGAATGTTGACATCGAAATTAAAGAAACAAACTTCTACGCTAATTGAAACCACTAATTTATTCCACTAATTGCGAGGTTCTGAATGAAATTTTTAGCGTTTGATTATTATCCATCAATTTGTGGTTAGAAATAACAAGTTTTTTGTTTTATAAGCTAATTATTACGCTTTTTCTATCGATACAGCTACCACCGCAAGCTGTTGCTAGGATATTCTATTAAGATTAGTTGCATTTTTTCATACATTGGTGAATGATCGTAAATTTTGTAGTATAATGTATAATTAAATATAACTAAAACCACTAATTTATTCCGTTAATTTCGAGAATCTGAATCAAGCTTAGTTTAGAACATAGATAATGGTCTAAAATAAAAAAGCTTGTTTTTTCTAAATTCTTAGATTGACAGAAAATCTTTCTTATCATTGTATATAAAATTTTATAGGTTATTTTATACTTTTATAAATCATTTCTCTTTTAGAAAAAAATAGCTACCTATAACGTTCTATAAAAGATAAATATATTTTGTTGTATCTAATACAAATCATTTCTACTATATTTTTATTTTTATTTTAATTAAAATAAGAGTATAATTTAGTCTTGACTCATTCCAATGTTATTTTTTAAATTGTTTTGAATTGATTTATTTAACTCCAAGCAATATTCTTGGCAACTTCATTCAATTTATTGAGTAATAATAAACTTTCAGATTTTCAACTAAATAACAAAAACATAAATAAAATTAGCGAAATTTATAAATACATAACGACTAACAAAGGATATAATAATTAAATACGAATTAAATAATATAAAACCATAATACACAAAAAGAAATTTTGTATGATTGCATTTAGTATTATTTTAAATATAGTAGTTGTAGATAAAATGGGTATTTTTTATTGATTTTATACGTATTTCTTTGAGTGTATTACTGATGTATTTGGAATAAAACGACTAAAAATGCTATTAGTAGATTTGAATCTAAATTAATTTGTACAAAAATATTGTTAATGAAATAATAGTAAGTTATATTATGCTACTATTACTGGTGTAATTTTAGAAAGTGAAAAATGTATACTTATTTATTTTTGTTATAAATAAAATATTTTTTATATTTTTTTTGTTTTTTTAATTATTCTTTAAAATTTTATCACTATTCAGTTTCTTAAGATATTTTTATATTATTATTAAATTAAACAGCTTACATTTTCGGAGAATTTTTTTTTCAAAAGTCAAAAAGTATTAATTTTTGCGACGTGATTGACAATATAAAAAAAGTCATTTTTAACGCCTAGGCCAGCCTAGGCATAAAAGTATGAAAATCTATTATTAAACTGACATATAGTGTCAAATTCAAGGAGCGTAACCAGAGTTTCTCGATATACAGGGTGGTCCGAACTGTATTCCGGAAACTTCGGCAGCATATTCTGCAGATAAAATTAAGTAAAAAGGTTCTGATAAATGTATGTCCTAAAATGCTTAGTTTCAGAGAAACAGGGTGTAGAAGTTTCATTTTTATTTCTAATAATTTCTGAATAATTTCTGAAATAAGGTCAATATTTGGATGAAAATTGGTGTCTGGGAGTTTTTTGACATGAGAAATTTGATTTTAATGTCAATATGACTCCTACTAGTAGAGGGCGCCACCTACGTGTGGTTTAACTGTTTTTTAGCGTAATAACTTTTTGTCCGTACCTGTATAAAACTACCGAGTAAAAAAATATACATCTCTGTGATTTTTTACGTAAAAAATATCTCTTTGTAAAAATCGCTACGAGCAACCGTTCTTAAGATATTTAGAATGGAATTAGTAAATACATGTCATTATTGATGAAAAATAAACACGTTGAGTAGATAGTTATTTCACTGAAATAATAAATTTGAGACATTTTTATTTTTTTAAATTAATCATAAATTTTTCTGCAAAAAATGATGATAAAACAGTTTCTGTTGAACATTTGACACAAAAACATTTCAAATTTATGATTTGAGTCTAATAGCTATTTAGTCAACATGTTTAATTTAATTTATGTCAATGATCACAGGTATTAATAATTTTGATTCAAAATATCTCGAGAACCGTTACTCGAAGCGAGTTTTACCAAGAATTTTTTTTACGTAAAAAACGTCGTAAATATATATTTTTTTACTCAGTACTTTTATACAGGTACAGACGAAAAGTTATTACTCTTTAAACCAGTTAAAAAATATGTAGGTGACGCCTTGGGTGACGCCCTCTATAAGTAGGAGTCATATTGATATCATAATCAAATATCTCATGTCAAAAAACTCCTAGACACCAATTTTCATCCAAATATTGACGTTAATTCAGAAAATATTTGGAAAAAATCGAAATAAAAATGAAACTTCTACGCCCTATATCTCCGAATCTCCTAAGCATTTTCGGACATACATTTTACGAACTTTTTTACTTATTTTTATTTGCAGAATATGCTGCTGAAGTTTCCGGAATACAGTTCGGACCACCCTGTATAATCACATACAAGGCATTACTTTTAAATCATTTTATATTTATTGAAACATTTGAAATTGTTTTAAAAAATTATTTGTGGCGTTTGAAAAAAATAGCGTGTTCTATTCGCCTGCCAAACGTCTTGGTTTTTTACGTAATAAACTTCCTGTTCATTTTATTGCTATAATTTCTGGCAGTTTGAAGTACAGCCTTACGCACTGTTGTCATTTTTAATCAACTAACAGAAGCTTTTTGACATGAAATGTGTAAACTTGGAGTGTGCTTTCAAGTCAGATGAATTCGAGTGACTTGATCAATTAATTTGACTAGTGTATACGCGCTTTAAAGGTACCGTAAACCGGCGCTACTTCGGACAACACGGGTAAATTCCGACAACGGGTCCTTGAAAGAGAAAAAAATTGAGGAGGGTAGCGAAATCATCAAAGCGGCCGCGTGTGGACTGGAACGTGTTTAAAATAGAGATGGGCGGTTATTGGTAAAAAACCGGTTATAGGTTAACCGGAATTATCTTTAAAAAATAATAACTTAACAAAATTAACCGACACAAATTAACCGGTTATTCAAATAACCTAACCTAGCAAAACTAAATATTTAGTTTTCCTATAGGTTTACTTACCTCTACACTCCATAGGTCTACTTCAAATTTAGATAATAAACTTGGATAAATCGCATGATTAAATAGAGATTGTAGCAATGTAAGTATGTATATGTACAAAATGAGTTTAAATAAAAATGCTAACCTCACTTTTTTGACTAGACATGGATATGATATTAAAACTAGTAATTACTTAACGTTCAAATAAACCACACAACTCACAAGTTCTACAATCTACAACCAATTTATTTTAATCAAATACCAAAGAAAAATAAAGAGATTAAAATGAATAAATAATAAAAGATTATCTTCATTCATTACTTGAACTTCAATTGTGTATTCTTAGTCTAAGCTTCAAGAGGGACTTCAAACTACAAATAAAATATATTTACGGTGAAACGTGGGTGAAACTGGGCGAAACCATGGAAAACTTTTGAAGAACCGTTGAAAATCCGTTAAAGTCGGTTAAAATTTAAATATAGAATTTAGAGAATCTATTTGAAGTTAGGTTCGTATCACTTGGCTAGTTGGTGGCTAGTAGTAGTCTATGGCATTAGTACTTTGTTTTACGGCCTGACCTGTCAGGGCCATTCGGCCGTTGTTTTGATTATTATCATCGGGGTTCGCCTGATGCCTGATTTAATTTTGACATTTGATGTTTGATGCCAAGTTGATGTAATATATTTTCGTTTTGGGAGCGGGATCTCCCGTTATCGTCGTAATATCGGGAAGATCCGTGCCGTTCGCTTCTTCGAAATTTACGATTCAAACAGCTAATATTTAATTGTTACTTGTTTTATACAAGTACGATTTTTTAAAAATAACCAGCTATAGGTTATTGAAGGTAATGCAAGGTTATTAGGTTAATTGGTGAAAAAAAAACTACCTTTAAATAACCGGTTATTTTAGAGGAAAATACCGGTTATTCAAAAAACCGGTTACTTTTGCCCATCTCTAGACGTTTCTTAAGTACCAAGTGTTTTGCGGGCTCGGCGTATTTTTTACGTCAATTTGTGTAAGTATGCAATTTTTGTTGTTTTTTTTAAAGTGGAAAAAGTAACTGGCGTACAACTAAACCTATTATTCATAAAGTCGTACTTTTTCCAGTATTCAGTAGGTATATAATCTGAAAATGTTTTATGTAATTTGAAGATTTTTAATCGTTCAATTTTTTTTCCAGATGGTCGTAAGCAAAAAAATCATATTTTGAAGGCTAACTTCGGACATGGTTCGAAGATACAAAAAGCAACTAGGGAGTCGCCCCTACTAAAATTATTCACCAGAGAGGTTACAGCAAGCAGTAGCAGATGTCAAAGCCAAGCGAAAAACCTTAAGAGAGGCGGCCGAGTATTATAAGATTCCCAAATCCACAATTGGGGATAATATTAAGGAGATTCATGATAAGAATCCAGGACGGCAACCAGTGCTGAGTATCGAGGAAGAGGCAAAGTTTTTGACTGATATTTTTAGAAATAATCAATCTTTTTTAATAAAAATGTCTTAAATAATGTTTGAAGTTATTAATTTTTTGAGTTTTTATTAAAAAATGAACTTGATTTTTTTTTAAAACTTATATATTTGTCCGAAGTTTCCTTTTAACTGGTATAACATCAAATTTACACATTTTTAAAGGCATGTCCGAAGTTACCCCACCTATGGGGATAACTTCGGACACTTTTCAAACAAAAAAATATATACGTTAGAAAAAGAAAGTTTAACATTTTTTTTTTAGTTTTAGACATAGGGGAAGGATGTAGTAACCCACACAAAAAATATTGGTTGAATTTGAA